CATTCTAATGTCCCTAGTTTTAAAGTTTAGGAGGATAAACCCGGTCGTTCTACGTGCTTTGGAGACTATCAAGGCACAGTGCTCCGAGAGATTAAGACTCTTGGAGTATGATGCGCCCAAATCCTTTATAACCCCTGGCACATTTATTGCGTGACCTTCAATACTTAGTTGAGGTTGGCGGTCGTCGCCAACCACCATGACTGAGCACCTATGCCAAGAAAGAGAAAGGCGCCATGTGCGGCACCACTGGGCGAAAGCCTGTAGATCGCTCTTTAGGAGCTCAAGCACGATGTCATGATCTGCCGGCTTATATCGATATGCAACTTTAAGATCATCGGCATACATGAAAGGCTTACCATTCTGAAATAAATCGGGTACATCATTAACGAGAAGGCAAAATAAAAGCGGGCCGAGTACACTACCCTGAATGACTCCACTCCTCACACGTGTGGGGTTGGAGATGGTATTGAAAATCCTAACTCGTTATGTGCGAGTGCCCAAATAAGAGGATATAACACTCAAAAGTTTGCCACCTATTCCGAAAGAGGACAATTTCAATTATAGTGATGGTAGAGTTGCGCTGCATCTAACACAGCACCTCTTCTACCATCTGCACCAGGATTCATAACGGACTTAATAAGATCGAAAGAGGAATAAGGAGCAGGTGGTTGGCATGACAAAAACACGTACCTAGGCGTACAACAAAACCATCCTTCGTATGCAACATACGCTGACCGGATTTTACACCAAGAAAAAGAGGAGGCGGCTCGGATCCCTATTGACAAGGTGTGAGCCTGCACCTGGGCCTGCAGCCACACCCCGGATATTGCCGTTTCTTATGGGCACGCACTCCTGATAACGCCTGCTGAACCCCGATCAAGCCCTATTCTGGACAAGCGTACCTACCGCGTGACTTCTTTTTAGGGTCACAAGGAGGGAAAAATGGCAAGATGAGAGAACTGCCGTGGCATTAACCCAAACAACTTTAATGCGAAGTTCTCCACTTTTCTTATCAGGTAATTTTAAACCGTGCGGGAGACCACGACCGGGCTCATCTAAGCTGGATTCCAAGCTGGGTGTGCGCGTAAAGACCGGGCACTCAGAGTGAATAGCATTCTTGAATTATGCCACAACTACAAACAGGGGACGGTGGTCTGCTTTCTTGACTTCGCCAATGCGTTCTATTCCGTTCATGGGGAAGAGAGAGAGAGAGAGAGAGAGAGAGAGAGAGAGAGAGGGGAGAAGTGAGAAACATATGCGCTTCATTTTGATAATGTCATTTGAAATTTTTCAGTGTAAAAGACCTCTATTCACAAAGAATAAAAATGAGTACGAAAAACAAATGACGCCAGAAGTTTAAAAGCGATATTTAATGGCCAAAAACTCCAGCCGTCGGTGTCATGAAATCACCAGTGAAGGAATTGTAGAATTCGAGTCTGTTTTTACTTCCTTCGAAACGACGCTAGCGTGGTGTGTAGGTGACTTCAACATTTTAGCTCGGATAAGCAAAGAGGGGGAAAATCAGAATATAAGAAGTAAAGCAGGCTAAAAGATGTACATATAAGAACATTTCCATGTGAATGGAGAGTAGGAAAATTGGCAGCCGAGTTTCAGAAGCCCGCCATTAACGTCATGTGTCCCTGTGACGAACAATGGAAATAGAATGCGCCGGCCAAAATAGTCGCCATAATTAAGGCCTACAACTACTAGTTTAGAACAATCTCTCACAGCCCTCCGACATTCAGTATAATTCAGTATAATCTCAGTATATATGTGGGATAGAGGTAAAGCCTTGGAAAACCCTATTTACAGATAGACGTATGAAGAAACATGCAGATTTTTACATAGCAATTATGCCAGTCATTTATGTTATGTAAATGTTTGACCATTAAGCATAAATTTATCTAATTTTCTTTTGAAGGTCTCAACGTTTTCAGCGAAGACAACGGAGTTCGGCAATTTGTTCCATCCCTCAATCAGCCGCTGGGAGAAGAATTTGGCCCGCAATTCGAGTTTGGCGTATTTTGTCTTCAATTTGTATTGGTGCCCTGGAGGATTTGTCGTCCGCGACAGTTTGAAGAAATCGTCAAACTGAAAAGCACAGTCTAGCCCTCAGACGATCCTGAGGCCATGATCATATCCCCTCTGTATTGTCTATAAGAGAGATCAAATATTTTTAGCTTTTCCAGCCGTCTCTCATAAAGTAAGCTACTTAATCCGCCGACTAGCTTGGTCGCTCTTCATTGTACGTTCTCCAGTAAGGTGTAATATTTTTGGTCCAGGGACACCATGCCTGGACACAATATTCCAACATTGGTCGAACGTATGCTCCAAATACTCGGCCGAAAATTTCTTTCTCAAAATTGAGGAAGGATCTTCTAATCGCGCCGAGTATACTCATAGCTTTATTTGATAACTTGGCGCAGTGAGATGATGGTTCGACAGTTGACGTCATCCACACACCGAGGTCTCTTGACTCGTTGACTGATTCGAGTTGGTGGCCTCCTATAAGGTACTGAGATTCAAATCTCAACGGCCTTCTGTTGCGCGAACGCAATCGGATAAGTTGACGCTTGTTACGATTGGGGCTAAGACACCACTCATCATACCATTGTTGCAGGCGATTCAGATTGTCTTGTAACTGTACAGAGTCTTCCGGCTTCTCTATTAATTTCCACAATTTGAGATCATCGGCAAACATTACGCGCTCTCAGTTCAGACAGTCCAGGCAGTCGTTCATATATATTAAGTACAGAATTGGACCCAGAACGCTCCCCTGAGGAACGCCACTGTGCACGGATGCCCATTCCGATTTAGCGTTTCCGATACACACACGCTGAGATCTACCCGTGAGAAAATCGGCAAACCATTTCAACAGATTTCCACTCACTCCCACTGCACGTAGTTTAAATATAAGTCGTCTGTTTGGAACACAGCCAAAAACCTTTTTGAAGTCAATGTACACGGCGTCGACTGATAAGCCCATGTCGATTGGTTTCGTCCAGCTCCCCATGGATACTAGCAGGTTAATGAGACAGGATCGACCCCTTCGGTCTGGCGTTCAACAAGGTTGCTTCCTGCCGACCACTCTTTCTAAGGTTTTCATTAGCTGAATTCTCGGAAAAGGCCCAACACGGTTTTACCAGTTTTACCGGTTTTAGCCAGTTATCCAGACGCCGACTGGCTTGCTTCGACTGTGCCGACGAAATTGCCTTGCCAGCCTCAAACTTTGGCGGTCTACACTGTATAGTGTCAACTGTGAATGAGGTCACCAAATCTGTCAGTTCATCCATAAATGCTGGGTGGGCCGTGTTGTTTTCGAGATTCATCGCAGAGCAGAAAAAGGCATCTCTCCAGTTTAACTGCCGTCAACTTTAGGAAGTTGACAGGTTTAAATGCTTCGAGGGCAAAGCTGCTGGCGGATGGACGGAATAAAGATGTTATGGTCTCCCGATTCGATGGTGCTCGCAAGGTTTTCTCAAACCCTGGAAAGTTTCGATGGACCCGACGCGACATCTGCGTCGCCACAAGGATTGGCGTTTACCGAACATCCGTCTGGTCGATTCTCTACGGTTACGAACACTGGATTGTGGGCATGGTAGGTAAATGGAAGCTGTGGTAACTTCACAATCACTGTCACAGGACTGTTCTTCGAATGAAGTGTCCTGGCTGCTTTCCAAATGAGACAGTCCGCACTCACTACGACAAAAATAATATCCCGGATCATCAAAGGAAAACGAATGAGGGGGTTAAATACGTTCTTCGTCATCAACCTCACGAATTAAATGCTGCTGCTTTCTATCCAGCGCCATTACCCACTTGATGGGTAGACACCACCCGTCAACAGATGGAAGTGATCTTTGGACCTACAGTATCCGGGCTTCGTCGTTGGCAAACAGCGTGCGTTGAACTATCCAGACCCGCTGTCGCGGATCGTTACGCGTGAAGAAGTGTAGCCCGTGACATAGCCGATGCTGGCCAGGGCAGGCGCGGTCGCAACTATATCAAGTACGGGTGAATTAGTAATAGTTATTTTACCTGACCGTAACCGACTGAATACCGCGACTGCTGCGCGATGGCTAGTGTTGGATGTACTGATGTTAAATTACCAAAATAATAAGGGTTAAACCCCAAGGTGCCCCCAAACCTGACGTTCGATAAAGCTGGCTAATCATATTTCATAGACCAGAAGTGGTCATCTCGGTCTCCGTTGTCTTTGACGGCACAACCTCATCTTCGTGCATTGCGGTATTGTATTGCAGGAGAAACTCCCTATCCTTTGATCTAGATTGCTTTACCCAAACGTGGTTTCCCATCGCAACTTATAAGCTTGTAGGACGTGACAGGAGTACAAGGGACCCAAAGAGGCCTTCTTGCTACATGAAATCATATAAACGGCTGGACTTCTATGATAACCAAGGGCGGTCTACAAGGGTATGAACGCTATTCGTAGGTGCGAATTTCAGCCAGCTAAACGTGCTAGCTACGGTGTCCTTTTTGGTTCATTTTGATAAATAAAAGGATTTTTCCTGGCTCCTCGTATATTTGGTGCGTTTTGCTTAGTTTGCATTTAGGTATTTCAACTTTCCGTGCCGAGTTCGGGCATATTTGACGGGACTGCCGTTCCCTCTTCTGCCAGTCCTTCCCTAACTCCAGTGTAAGATCACTGCTAAGTACTTCAGTCCGTACATAAGGTTTGGTAAGTTTCTGGATCACTCGCGAAAACACCAAAAGTCCCGGACGTTTACAGATTAGCATGCAAATTATGTGTCTTGATAGTGGTCTTAGCCTAAAACACTGTTGGAGCCCACCGACCTACCTTTAAAGCGTTCAACGCCTTTATGTATACATGGCTTCATGAGGCGTCCTTTCGATTCCCTTACTTGACTGCACTTAAACACTTGGCCTTGACGCAAATTTTGGAGTTACTAGTTGCGGCCAATGAGCAACGAAAGCGAGCAGTTATTGCGTCACCATTCCCGCCAATGAGAGATAAGTAGATGGAGTCTAGAAACGCCAAGTCCCCGTTAGCTCCAGTTGCTTCCCCAGTAAAGGTTTCACGAGGGCGCTGTAGAGCGGACTCAAACGGCCTGCGTCACACATTACTCCTCTTAGCCTTGACCCCACCAATTTTCCGGAAACAGACTCGGCATCTGAATTACCTGTTTGGCAGTCACTAAAACGGCAAACTTCGACCTTATCAAGCCTTATGCCATCTTCAAGCTTAGATCTACGCTCAAATGCCGCTATCGCCAGAGCCCAGAAGCTCACTGCTTTGGCTGAGCCGCCGAAAGGTGGATTTAGATGCTTAATGTTACCTTTTATGTCGGCTTTTTACATTCCAGCTGCAGTCTTGACGAATGCTTTTTTCCACAGGGCTAGAGTCGCGTTCAAGGCGATCTAAACCGGCAGTCAGCAAATCCACGAGATCCGGAATCGTATTCCCCGTTTCCAGAGTTCTAAGACTCCTAAGGACATCAAAAGTTGCGAGGGTTCATCGAATTTCAGCCTCAGCAGCAGTCTACCTGGCCGCTGTTCTAGAATATATGACATGTAAGCTCATGCGGCTAGTAGAACACTTCGGAATCTTAGGTGAGCTTTTGGACCTCGCTGGCAGCGTCGCCAAGGCCGTCAAGCGAAAACTACTGACTCCCCGCTTTATAATGATTGCTGCCACCTCGGACTCAGAAATCTCAAAGGCTTGTTCCTCAAAGACCACTGTCCTTATGCATTTTCTCCCCATATAGATGTTGCAGAAAGTAACATTTCCGTTCAGCGGAGTCCAGCCAGCCATTCTCCCGCAGCTTCTATCTAGAGCGTCATCGAAAGTAAAGCAAACTAGGCGACGCGAACCTCCCCATGCCAGTAAGGCATCTGAGGTACGCTCTCCACTATTTCCAGCGTAACAACTACTCTTCCAGAAAACGTTGCGAAAACTCACTCTTCCCAACGGACGCGTCCTACAGGTTGTTCAAGCTGATATGGCAGAACTTTCTGTCGACGCAGTTGTCAACCCAACGTCAAGTAATTTTTATATGGGTGGTATGGTAGGTAAGTGTTTAAACTCGGTTTGTCCTGCACCAGCATAATAAATCCTTGCTTTTTATGTCTTGAAACATTTCGCATTAGTGTTAGTGCGCGATTTTTAGGACTTCTCGTGGCAGGCCGACTATAGCCCTCACTAGCATGGGCATGTCGACTTGATGTCGCCCTCGGTTACTTTGCCAATATCGAAAGTCGATATACCATGATAAGAGCGAAAGCGGTGTGTAGGGCATCACAAATGGAGCGCCCACCAAACTTACGGCCGTTGCCTTTCACTAGACCGTTGTGCTCGAATTTTAACTTCCCTTTGCAACGATGCCTGTAAGAGGAGTTCCTGTCGAAGATGGCAAGCTTTTAGTCATTTTGCGAGTTTTAGCTAAAAGATCTGGAGACAAAAATTGAATAAATTTGATGTTCAACTCTGTCTGTCCAACTATCGATATCAGTATCCGTAAATTCTTGATGCTGGCGGAAGGTGGAGAGTTGACCATGTTGAAGACCCCACTTCTTGCGCACAGAATGAAATAGAACACGAACTAACCGTTGACAGCAATATTGGCTGGAAGCGTGCTGAGACGCTCTCAGAAGACTTCTAGTGACATCTTGAGATGCCCTATGGAGGTGGAAATAAGCACCCCACTTACTATAACCTCTTAAAGTTCACATTCGCTCAAACCATTTGCTCCCCATCCCTTTCACTGTTGTTTGGGCGTCGACAGCGGCATAAAACATTCGCCTCACGAAAGTTATCTGTGTTCCGGCCGTTAGAACAGGCCAGACGCCCAATTTTTCAGTTCACCAGCTTGCGCCTGAAGTTTACGCAACTAAGCCGTGCGATGTGTTGCCTATCGAAAATGATCATTTCCCGGATCTATTTGTTTTATGTATGGAAAAAAATACTGGTAATATTTCTGTTTTCAGGTAGTCGCTTGACTTCCAAGGGAGGTGTTCAGTTCGCAGAAGTCATGCGACAAACACGCCAAGACCTTCCCATTCTCCCCTATCTCGCAGGTATGTCTTTACGACATTCTATTGAACAATTCTGACACTACTAAGTGAAAAACTGGCCTTTTCGCGCCACGTCTGAGGTTTATATGTCGCCTTATCCTACCTTATCTGTGGACCAATCCAAAGCCTTTTTACGGCGTTTTGGTGCAACAAGGACCCTCATTTAAAAAAAACAACCACTAACATACTGAGTACCTTTCCTGCCTTCTGTAAGTAAACTTAGATCCTTTGCTGTCTTTGTTGTGTTGTAGCGCCAACATACCTTACCTGTCACTACCATGTAGAAATAAGTTTACTGTTCCACTTCTGTTTTACTTCGTTAAAGCTGTCAGATACCTGTAGCCTGACTGGTTATAAATCGATACAAACGCCCGACGACTACGACATTTTCTGCTCTAGCTTTACTTACTTCAGCACGAATGTACACAACGATTTCGAAGCTCCTTAGTCCTGCTTGCACTGGTCGCTTATTCTCGTTTCCTTTTGTAGTTTTAGACTTAACTGTATTGGCAACCATCTAGGAGTGTCGCAGATTGGCTTAACTCATTTCATCAAGCATGAGCATTTGTCAGTTCTCAGCTAACATTCTCGTCACTTAAGTCATTCTAATACCTGTATCGTAGGGTTTTAACTCCTTATTCATACTAAGATCATGCCTGTTCACTAGGCTACTGCGGCAGCATCTGCACCCAGGGTGAATTTTGGGTCCTGTCTCTTTCGAAAAGCTGCTTCCTCCATGTGGACTATTGCTGGCCCTAATAGACTCAGCTGATTCGACTTGTTTCTTTGGTACAAGCCTTGGTCTTGACTCAAATTAGAATACTATCTCAGTGTTCCTTTCCTTTGGTGGGCTCGGGTGACATACCGAAGATAGCTGTGGTCTTGATCCGAAACTAAATGCTTTTTCGATACTGACGACGCACTTCACCTACTTAATGTATGTTTAAATCGGCGCATTGTTTCGTTCTGGCGGTAGAAAAAGGCGTTTTTGACTTGCCGCAGATATCGATTTTTAATAGCGTTATGTGTGCGGTTTTGCTGTCCTTCTTCTCTACTTCATCCGCAAAACTTGCTTTTTACTATTCTGATTTCAAGCCCACATCACCGATGCCCCAAATCTGAACGCGCAACACGTTATTCACGTTAACGGTCCTGCTTGGGACTCCGGACTGGTAGCAGAGCGTTTGAGAGATCTCGAACAGTGTGTCGAAAATTGCTTACGTTTGGCTTCAGACAAGGAACTCGCTTCGCTGGCAATGCCATCTATCGGTAGCGGTCGGTGAGTGTCTGTCTCCACATAGTGCTATCCTATGCAGTAAAGGTTTTTGGGTCACTAAGCGTTTCTCTCGGGTGGCGGAGAGTAACCGCAAACTGTTCGGCACCATCCAGCGATTCGACGGTCACTAGAACCTTTCGTTTTACTGGCTCTCCTGCATCTGTGATCCTCAGTCCTCAGCCAGAACTCGGAGCCTGTTTAACTCTAGTTTGGCTTACCCCTCCTTTCTGCAAATCCCTCATAAAGACTGGTGTTATACTCCAGTTATTGCGAATGGACTCACTACCTGAAACTAATAAATGAAAAACGCTAATAGACTCAGTGGTATTAAACATATAGTGGGTCCTCACGTTCGTTTCACGGATGTCTTACCGCTTCTAGCAAATCGAAAAAGATGCCTATTTGAGTTTCGCAGTCCTGTTCTATGGCCAGAGATATCTAACTGGTTACTCCGGCTGAAACACTATATTTCGGTGAATAAAATATCTGCTGAAATAGCGTCCTCTTACAGCGTTGGACCAACCATTTCCTGGACGTGCCAATGTGTAGAGCACTTGACACCAGTCTGCATCCTCTAGAGACTGGGAACGACGTTCACTAGTATGGCCTATGCAATCACGAAAATCGCCCAGATGACGGGCACAGGTTTCGTAACTCATCAAGTAGAGCACCCGACGTGGATTCGGTCGGTGGTTCGTTTCCACCAGAGCAATGTTCGTTGTACGAATTTCATGCCTTCGTGGCTTGCACTTGTGAAGTAAATTCTAATCGTTCATCCATTTCTTAATTGGATTAAGTTCGTTATTTCATACGAATAATTCCGCCTGCAGTTATCCGAACTTTTGTCTCCAGTCGTAGACTTTGCTTTGCTTTTCCCCTAAAGTATCTGCTCTTACATGAATTCTCTTCTTTAGTGCCGGCTTCCCGAAAGCAGTGGCTGCGGAGACGATTGTCAAGACGATTAAACGATTTTTGAGTGACAACGTACTTGTCAGCCTGCGTGATGTTCAATTGGTCCTCTACGATCAGGAATCAATCGACTGCTACATATACGAGTTAAATAGAACGACATGACTTGTTCGTTTTTGGAAAATGGCTACGGCATTGCCACCCCGACCCCACATACACTAGTACTTCATTATCTCTAACAGTGCAGTTGTGACTTCAACTTTTCATTTTTTTACTTCTCTACACATTTTCGAAATTTACTGATCATGCTACCCTTTTGCTGTTTTTATTTTGTCACTGGATTGCAATAAAGAAAACCTTCTAGACTGTTATCCGAGCCTTCGAAACTCTGCACCGATTACGCTGTTCATTCTTCGCTCACGATACGTGTCAAGGATGGTCATAGTTTTCTAAATGAGCGGCAGAACATCCCTCTTAAGAATATGTCGTACTTACCCAGCCTCATAAAACGCTGGCCGAAAACGAAGTGTGCTATCAACCAGAGGGGACATCGGAGTTTCAGTACTGGCAACTGTGGCACGTTTTACCACAGTAACCGCCTATGCTGTATCCGTAGTGGTGTCCTTGCCCGGATGATACTTCGACCGTCGATTCCGGTTACGTCCACCGTGCGGCCCACGGCATGGTCGGTGCGAGGGCGGTTACTTGCGCGTGAATTTGCAGTGGCAGCATACTTGCGCAGGATGTACCGCAACCTCTCCTCCACCTAGGCCTGGTGTCGTGACCACAGGCGGGAGGGCGCAAGTGGATGGAGTGAACCCGCACTTTGATGTGCCACCGCACCCCGGTAGTGTGTATCGTTCAGCGTACAGGTCAGGTCGAATACTGCTTGCCTGTAGTCATTTCCTATTCTTTGCCGTGATAAGACTCCCAACGCTCATAACACGGTAGGCCGCGAAACAGCGTAGTTCAAGTATTAATTTGGGAGCAGAACGCTGGTATCCGGATATCTTAGGAGCTGTGGAGTAGTGAGCAAGCTCTTGGTTGGAGGGATAAGATATGCGAGGTTGTCTTCAACCGGTCACCGAGAGATCTCAAACAAAAGGGCCCGACCGAGACTAAGCCAAATGGGTCTTGTCGTCTGTCCGGTCTACAAAATAATGCCCCCGTGAGTGCGGGAGAAATCATTGGACGCTGCTATAAATTCTTGCTGGTACGGAGACGGCTTGCGAGCTGGTTTAAAGCTCCGGTTCGTCGATGCACCCCCCCCCCCTCTCAGGACGGGGCCTGTCCGACGTCTCCAAAGGTGACAAGTAGTGTAGATTCGCCGAAAGTTTGTTAATAAACCAGCATGTCCCCAAGCCTGACCGATAGGTAGTCGTTAAATTTGCAGCTATGCCCCCTTCACTCGTGACTGGGTGCCTGAAGGTAATCACAAGCCAGAATGGTATTACGGCTTGAAGAACACTGCCTGCCATCCAATGTTGTCGCCTTACCGGCCATGGCTCCGCACAGAGGTTTGTAAAATATGTTCTCGAGTCGTCTAAAGCTCACTACATAGGGGCTCCGACTGGCGCTTCGGCATCCATAAATTGGACACGTCCAAATCTCCACTACTGAGACGGGTGCCAACTGTTTTTTTTTCTGGATAGTGTTTCTGCTTCAAAGATAGACATTTTCAATGACCTGGGCAGAGTACCCATGCAATTAACGCTCCCAACTTCTTAGTCGTGTTGATATGTCTGATCCAAGAGTGACTAAGGCGCCAGAATTCAGCACCACCTATTCGGATTATATTTGTATGCGCAAGGACTTCGGCAAATCTGGAACGGCATTTGTGAGACACTAAACAGGCGCATAACAAGGAAACCTGTCTTTGTCCACAGTTCGCTAGCAGCGAAGGTTCGGTTGCAAGTCTGGACCTTTCCGCCTCCGGTGGTATCAGCTTCCGAATGACCATCCGCCCACACGGAATCATTCTCACGCACAAGAGACTCCAATTGTCGAATAAATCAGGCCCACAGTAACTGCCAAAGACAGCGATTTCCCCGCTATAGATTGATCGTGTACTTCGGATGCGCTGTGTTCGAAAATACCGAGATCGACGACGGAATTGCATCCCGAACCTCCTGATTCAGTTGGGTTTTCAGTAGGTTACACCGAGTTTGAGATTGCTGACATACTCCTCAACACGAAGGTGGGGGAACGGGTGTATGCTGACAGTGCCTCTCTACGGGACAGAAGCGTGGACTGTCGATCAAAACCAAGCAAGAACTGAACCATTCAATTAGGCCGTCCTCTAGGATACCAATGATCAAGTGGCAGGACAGGTCCGCAGGCACTCGGGCTCCATCTGTGTGCAGCGTGCACGTCATGGGGATGGCTGATGAAGTCCCGTTCCAGTGATAATTGTATGGTGGCATCAATGAAGTTAGTTGTAGACAAGGCGAAAAACCACGTCACAAGAGCATCTTTGAGACACCGACCCAATTTTAAATCAACCGAGTCTCTTCGTAAAATGACCCAGGACAAGCAGGCACTGACATATGCTGTCAAATGAAGACAGCTATCTACGGGGCCGCCTAAATACAGATCAAGGCGAAGCGACAAGCGCACGACTGGAGTACTTCAGAGCGCAGTCAAGTTGTCCAAATCCTGGCAATATGTTTCTACTGTCAGAGCATATTCAGGGCCCAAACCGGCCCTGTCGGAGATACCAATGAGACCACCCTCGTTACGAGCTACCACGACACTGTCTATTATTAATCTGGACTTTACAGCATTCGCAGTCTTGTGAGATCCGAAATACCCAAACCGAAGACCAAGTGGCGCGAGATCAGGTGCTGCGAGGATACGTGGCATGCACAGAGGTGAACCCATCCACTGTATGCGCCCACCTCTAGTCGCTTCGATTGCCTTATCATTAGAGAACAGCGAGCATGCGGATAATGCAGGATGTGTTGCGCAAGTCTACTTTACTATAAACGAATCCATGATCGTGTCTCCTCCTGAGCCGTGGCGGCCTTCAGCGTTCGTGACAAATTTGCTACGCTTACTGGTACAGCTAATGATCGTGCCTGGCCTAGCCCGCCTCGATGGTGTCGCCAGTCACACCTCTCCCCGCGTGATCTACGGCAGTGGACCTGAAGTGCTTGACCAATTCTTAACTCCTGTGACAGGAACCGAATTCAAAAGGACCGAGAACCACCCCATGTCTTGACGAACAGTGTGGAGCCACATTCGGAGTTAGTATCCTTTTCGGCATCCCTAGAAAATAACAGTACCGGATCGAGATCTGCAACGCCGACCTAGTGGCAGACGCCTAGGAAAGTGCCCAAATCCCTTGTCATTTCTCTTGGATGGCCTGAGATATCCTTGCGAGGATGTCGCAACGAGTGTAGACTGTTCCACCTGAGGCGAAGTCCGTATTTCACTCGAGGGATGGTCCACAGGCAGCGGTGATTAGACTTTTCGCTTCCGCTTACCCACGCGCACAGTCCAGCATTCAGTAATAAAGGACCGACCGGATGGGTAAGCGATACAGACGGACCTTTGGAGCGATTAGATATCGTGCCGGACCCAGAGCTCTTCTCAGGACAATGAAAACCCTATGAATGGCATTGGCTCTGGGTATGAGGTCGCACTTACCCTGTCTATTGGGTAGCAGTCTCACCTCGATTTTCTGTGAACTTCACAAGAACTTTGCCTGTTAACTAGTGAGGGGTAACCATGCCACCACTCAAGCCTAAACGAGTTTCGCTGGCTAAGCTGAGTGTCATATAGGTTCCTCCCCGAAACAGACCGAATTCCGAGATGAGACTCGAATCCCCCATGAGAACCTTCACAAACAGACCCTAAGACTTAAAAACTGCAATTGCAGGGATGACCCCCAACCCGTACAATATGCACGCCACTGTATGAAAACAGCTAATAGATGCAAGACTGAGACGGTCATTTCCGGCTTATTCTCCATCAAATGGCAATAATGCCACAGCCCCGGGTGGTGCTGATACTATGGGCTGGCGAAATGACGGCGGGCTTACCGCACGACCACTAGTGGAACCCACTAGGCAGACTGGTGCGAGTGTGCCTTCCACAAGGATGGGGAGGCGTCTTAGACGACCAGAACCAAACACCTACGTTCTAATTAGTGCAACATTAGCGTTCACTACGTCAAGCACTGTAATCACTTCAGGAGAAACCACGTTTTCACAGAACAAAATGACCGTTCTGCAAATTATACCACTCACAGCGTGATGACAACGGAGACCCTCTTTTAATGGCTTTTGGCTAGCAACTGGGGGTTTTGTGTAATAACTGTGTATTTAGACCGCTAATCACATGGCTGTCAACAATAAGAGGTCCGCAGGCCAGACTTTTGCGAATAATACTGGCCGATGAAAGCACATAACCGCATCCAGTGACGCCCAAGGCTGCTAGGAGAGCCAACGTCGAGCAAGCCAATCCTATACTCTCAGTCGATTATTGCGACAGACTCTGGGCTATGAGAAACCAGCGACCAACTCGGTTGCGCGCGACAAATAAAATCTCGGTAGCAACAGGGTGTGGCCATTTCCCAGGCCAACCCGTGAGCCCGGCCAGGTGAGAAATCCAGCAATTATCGGTCTGGAAGAACCACTTAGAAGGGCGCAAGGGCACCGCAAATCCCTTGAACAAGGAAACCAGGAGACTGGCTGCAAAGGCCAAACGCATACTCCAAGCTACTGAGTACCAGTGCAGCCTTTTTAGCTAAACATCTCCCTGTGCTTCAAAACACACGACCAGCGCGTGAACTCTGAGGGAGTAAAAAACAAAATCAACACGACTAGGCTTATTTTCATCTTTTTGTATTTTATCGCCTAATACCCCAGAATATTGACAAGTGAGATGTTGCTAAGGGACCGGATCAGTGTCGTTGCAATTGATATGCAAGGACTACAGATTAAATATGCCAGTTTTCTTTCTCTGCCGCGCAGTAGGGCACATACCACGCAATAACCAACTTTGTAGATATTCGAGAGCGGACAGCTCGAAGGAGAAATGCTTTCAGAACAAATCCCTATAAAACCACACCCATTGCCACGAGGGATACCGGAATCCCGGGTAGATACGGAAATTAGAAAGGCCCTAGACTCTGGAAACTAAGTTGAGAGCGTCGGTTTGGT